AACATGTACGCTGTATCTGTTGTGCAGATGACAAATAAAACCTTTGAACCTTTGAACCTTTGAACCTTTCAAGAGCAAGATAACACTTGAAGAAAAGGGGTAGAGGTGGGAGAAGGGGTGAAATGAGATTCTGCCTTAGCCTTCTAGATTACTGCAACTCTCTCCAGAAATCAATCAACTGCCTCCACCCCGTGCAAACCACAGCTCTTGAGGTTCTCACAAAAATTCCCTTGTAGCACTTAACTGGGTGGCTGTGGCTGAGGGTGTAGAACGGTTGTCCTCGAACCAGAAGGTCGGAAGTTCAATCCCCAGTCTTCCCATCTGCATGCCAAAGTGTCCTTGAGCAAGATACTGAACCCCAAACTGCCCAATAGAACAACAAAAAGTGCTAGCTATAGAAGCACTCTATGTATGAATGTGTGTGTGAATGGAAAACTGTAGTGTGAAGTGCTTTGAGTGGTCTTCAAGACTAGAAAAGCGCTATATAAATACAACCATTTACCATTTAACTTAGCAGACCCTCTCACCCCCTATTATTCTTATTCTGCTTAAATATCTGTTACTATGGGTACCCAGGGTAAAACGAGAGACAAAAGATGGTAGGGAATTGTTAGGGTTTTATAGATATGGAACAACCTCCTCCTGTTAATTATTAGTATTATTATTATGTCCTTGATGAGCATACACAAGCAAAATATCTGACAGTTTGGTTTGTAAAAAACAAAAATACATACAAAATAGTGACAAATGCTGTCACATGTTTTCTCTGTGTGGTGGCTTGGTGCCAAGTGCAGTTTGACAGACAGTCTAAATAAAAGTATGTAGTCATCTTGCATGTAAGACTCAGTTTTTTATTTTTCGATAGCAGTAATAAGCGACTGTACATGATGCGATAACCAGATTTTGTATTTTGTTAAACTGGGATACCGCTTCAGCCTCACTCCTGTGCTGATGAGATCAGTTTAAATTGATTTTTAATCATAAAACTTACATTAATCCAATGAATGACAAAATACATAATCTTTCTAAAACACTTTTCTATATTTGCATTGGCAGACACAACTGATTCACACAATAATTAAGTTGTTATTTTAGTGCTTGAATATTAAGACACTGGAAGATATTCACTCTGAACATGTGAGATTTAATTTCCTCAAGAAAATCATCATCATTCCATTGTAAAACAATCTGCCTGAGTACAAACAAAGAATAACATACCACTCATGTTTCTTTCAGTCACAAATGTACAAAAATCAGTATGGACTTGGTTATATAACAAATAGGTTTGGTCATCTCTCTGCTACAGAGTCTTATCCCAATGTATCAACCAAGAGCAATAATCCTGGTGATAAGATGCCTTTGAAAGTGTGCTCAGGCCAAAACCACTAGTCTTAAAAGTCTTAAAACAATCACTCTGGTTTATAATCTAATTAATTTCTCTCATTCACAACTTTGGTCAGTGCTATAACTTGACTGCCATAGTCATGTAATGGTAAGCAAGTTACACCTTTGTTTCCATCTTTGTTTGGGAGACATGATTATGTTTTCAGGAAAAATGTTACACAAAAGCTCAGATGGGACTGTGCCGACAGCCTGCTGCAGTGGATTTTAAGGCACAGCCTCAATGTCTGCAGAAAGATTTTAGGAGCTCTCATATCCAGTTGTACTTACATATGAAGTGCTTTCAGCTATATAAAGTGCTGTGGATAAATGTGGCTTCTTCACAAACAGTTTTATGGCTACAGCGTTGTTGTGTTCCCCAGATCTCACTAATTACCTTACCATGCACAATGCTACCATAACTAATAGGAATGATGGCCAAGACAAGTAAAATTAGGCCTTAGATGTGATAAATAACTGCCCAGAATACGCAAAACAAGGTTTGCATGGTGTCAGGGAAAATTATCCTTTTACAACCACAAAATAAGTAAGACTATGATACCGTGTGATGTCCCATTTCTCACCACTAAATACACTGTCACCAGTGCAGTGCCCAGACAGTATAGGTGCTTTACCTAGTTTTATCTAGTTGGTGTATTGTTTTGATTTCTGACTGTGTAGGTGCATTTTTTAGTGCGGACTGAGGTGAGTGCTACAGTCTGCTTCCACTGACAGTCCCAGGTAAGAGATGAGGAGGAAGGTGAGCTTCCACTGAAGAACACTGAGCAGGATGACGGAGGGACAGGAAAAAAAAATATAAAATGTTCAATTCTGACTTTATGCAGGCAGCACATTCAACATTTCAATTCATCAAGATCCAGTATCTGTCAAATACTGACACTGGGTTGAGTGAAACTCAATTCATCACACAACATCTACAGGATGTTGTACACGATAACATTTCTAAATGGGGGTACAATGTTGTTCGCATTTTCTCCTCACAGAAAGAACAATTTTGGGTTCGAACTGTGATGTCGGGCCTTTCTGTGTAAAGTTTGCATTTTCTCATTAAATCTGCGTGGGTCTTCTCTGGGTACTCCAGCCTCCTCCCACAGTCCAAAGACATGCAGACTGGGGACCTGTCAAGGATGTACCCCACCTCTCGCCCAATATAAGCAGGCTCCACTCCCCGCTGCAACCCTCAAATAATAAGCAGTATAGCATATTAATATATGGTCTTCTATACATCAAGTATTACAGCCCCACTGATACCGATAGTGAAAGGCATATTTATAAAGCTGAATGTAAGTGGATTAAAACATTCATAAAAGTGTGTGTTGGTTCGAAAAACTTGGCAGGCAGAAACTGAACATTTAAAAAACACCTGTAATGGACTTATCTATGCGGTCCCACAGGGTATACGAAGAGAAGAAAATTTCAGCTACAAGTGTTGAAAGGGTATTGTCAGTTAGCCGTAACAATAGCTTCAGTTATACAAACGCTCTTATGGGAAGGGTTGTGTTTGAACAGCAAATAACTAACAAAGCTACAGTTGGAGCCTGAATTGCACAAACACAAAATTATTCAATTTATTACAGGACCAAAATTTCTCTCACACACACACACACACACACANCACACACACACACACACACACACACACACACACACACACACACACACACACACACACACACACACACACACACACACATGATGGGCTGAAAATGACCTCAGCATAAAATCAGCACCTCTGTGACCCAGCTCAATAAAAAATATTTACATTACATGTGCAGCTAGGCTTAGACAAAAAAACCTGGTGAAGCAAGTTTAGAACCCTGGTGAATGGAAAATGTGAGAATGAGTCATCCTCCACCCTGTTGTGCTGCATCCACAATGGGGTTCACTTGGAGAGAGTCATAGGATGACTTCTATCCAGAGGCTAATCGAGCCAATGTTAAGCTCTACATAGGTAAAAACCCCAAGGCGTGAGTTGTAATTTAATGTTTTTTCACAATGCACTTATATACCAAAATGATGACCCCCTTTATGTACCAGTATACAAGTTTAAGTGTGGTTTTATGTCAGTATTAAGTCAGATACTTTCTTTGGTGTCCACAATTACTCATGGCCTGACTTGGAACAATGGTTTTGAATGCAGACAGATATTCCCCTCAGAGATTATCTCACCACACAATGTATATTGTAGGCTCCAGTTGTACTTTCCATTTATTTAAGTGACTCCTGTTCTCATTAACCAACACAGTGTTAATTTAAACAATATTATACTATTATTTACCTTAATATAAAAACAGCTTCAGAATTATTTTGATGGCACACTGACATGTAAAAGGGATAATTGATTGTTCTTTGGTGAGCGTATATGATGTGCAACTGAGTGTTAGTCAGGACTTAAACTGTTGGAATCAGGCCCAGCAAGTTAATGGTTAATGCTGAACTGAAGATCAATTCAAAAGACTTAGGGGTCAATAAAATATGTTTTAGAATATCAAGAATTCTTGAGTTTGGTCTTTTTGTTACAGCGACAGCTCTTACAGCGATCATGAGGAATATACACCCTTCAGCTGAATTTTAGTTCGGGGGGGGGATACATAGGCTCAATTTATGTTCTATAATCAAAAACACTAAACCTTTTTCAACCAAATTTTTCTATAATTATTCACATGCAATATAATTTTAGTTGGGAAATGAAAATGTACAGGCATGTATCATTATTATAATTCACACACATTCATACAGTGCATCTTTGTGCAGCACTTTCTAAGAGAAGGGTCCATTTAGTGTCCAGTATCTTGCCCAAGGACACTGCGGCATCAAAATCAATAGAATCAAACTGTCACCTTCTGGCTGGAAAACGACCGCTAAAACCCTGGAGCCACAGCTTGTTGTTAAAGGATAAGTTCGTTTTTTTCAACCTGGTCCTTATTTCCAGCATATGGTATGTAGATCTACTCACCCATAAAGGTTTGGAGTAACTTGGAGTCCTTCGGACGCTTTTAGATCTACACGCGATCGGCGTATACCCATACAACGCAAGGGTTCGGGGCATCCACAATACAGCCTCTAAATAACGCAATATCTGCCGCGAAACTCTATTTACTATAAATCGCCAGCAATAGTCCTCAGGGAGTCTCGCCAGCCTCGGAGCTAGCTTTAGCATCGAGAACGGAGAGCGAGTTGTCTTCCTGTTAAATCAACAAATTGGTTCACTAAGCTAACGCTAGCTCCGAGGCTGCTCGTTAGCCCGCTTAAGTTAGCTAGCCTTTAACTGGGTGAATACGCCCGAGCACCAGGACACAGCTGCTTTAAAAGAATACTGTACTGTAAACTCCATGTAAAAAAACATAGCTGATCGTCAGCTGAGCTGCGGCTGCGCGCCTCCTTGACGTCACCCCAGTGAAAGCCCGGGATGTACACAAAGCAACTTGGACTCACAGGGGACTAGTGCTGGCAATTCATAGTAAATAAAGAGTTTCGCGGCAGATAATGCGTTATTTAGAGGCTGTATTGTGGATGCCCCGAACCCTTGCGTTGTATGGATATACGCCTGTGGATCTAAAAGCGTCCGAAGGACTCCAAGTTACTCCAAACCTTTATGGGTGAATAGATCTACGTACCATATGCTGGAAATAAGGACCAGGTTGAAAAAAACCGAACTTCTCCTTTAAGCTGCACCCCTACTTTGTCTGTTTATTCCATTTGTATTAATATTGAACATATAACATGTCTGAATTGCAGTAAATTTGACACTGCACTTCCTCAGAATTCACACTTGGCATGTGCATTGTACATGCCAAGTGTGAAGCCGATAAGATGAACAGTTGGTGGTATTTGTATCTGACATTTGTGATATTAGTAGGCAGAGATCAGACTCTTCCAGAGTCCACCGTGCACCTTTATGTTTCTACAGCAGCCCAGAACACAAACCTAACAATAGCAATAGTTAAGAGGGACTTAGCATTTATGTTACCTGAAGGCCATCATAGTTTCTCTAACTCCTGGAAAGACAATTGGCAACTGGCAAATAAGTTATGAGACAGTTTTTTTTCTAAGTCAATAGAAAAGGTTGGAAAATTTAACAAAGGCTAAATCAAGAAATTAATTTTAAAAATTTACCTGGAATTTGAGGGAATGTTTAGTGAATTGCTCTACTGTCCCCAAATCTAAGTCATGGAGTGCTCTGCATGATCTATTTTACCTTTCCCATATTTTGAATATGTTTGTATTTTAAGAATAACTAACTTATACTCTGATGTGCTCTGGAGCCTAATTTACTCTAATTCTTGTGTGTTGTCTTGGCACCTTCCATACTTTACATTGGCTGTAAATGTCAAAGCCACGTGAACAATATTCAGATGGATTCAGATATGGCCCATGGAACACTTATTGGTGATCACTGGTTTAGTAAGATTTATTGTGACTAAATGAGATTATGGCAAAAGGGCTGGGAATAAGCCAAAGAATAAGTGCACACCACCAGGCTGGGTTTGAGGCACTGTTCAGACCTGGTATTAACATCCTTCTCAGGTGATCTGATAACAAGTTAAGTACAACTTACAGTACAGGTGTGAACAATGGGGAAGCATTTGAGGTCTGCTCATGCAGATCACATTCACAGGTAAAGCCACACCTGTGTAAACATGAATGATTCCTAGTCTAAACTGAACTGCAATTGGTAGTCAGTCACATTTATTACCAGGGACTCCCAAGTACTGTACTGTCACTATGGTATCATCACTATTCGACAACAGCAATATCAAATGGCTTCAGTGTGGACTTGGTAGCTATACAGTGAGCCCCTCAGTGTGTGGAGAAGGACAGAAAAGATGGACACTAACTTTTTGAGAGCAGTGATGAGGTACATGGTCTTGGGCAGCAGCAGGTACACTTGGTCTGTGAGCACAGCATGGATGATCTTCTTCACTACATAGTCTGGATTCAAGATGGGCAGCAGCTTTGGCCACCTGATGAGGACAAGAAAGAGCATTAAGAAAAAAAAGCACAACTACTAACAGTAGAAAATCCCCATTTGTCCTGCAAGAAATGTATCTTTGTAAATATCTTTAAAATGGTATTACTGAAAAATATGTATAAATGCAAGTGGACCACTGATCTTGATTTTGTCACTGGAATGTTATGTGAATTTAACAAAGACTGTGAGACAACAGTAGCCTTTTTGCCAAACCCAAACTAGGTTCACCCAAATAATCTTAAAGGATGTACTCTTCTGCTGCTGGGTGTCTCATTTAACATTCAATAACATGACATAGAGATTAGTGACACAGTGTAGTAGTGTGGGATCATGGGACTTGTCATTACAGTCAGCTTTTCCCAGACAAGATTGCTTCAGTGTTCATGTTTCAGGAGCTGAATAATTCTCAGAGGTCTCCCACTTTTCAAAACAAACAGACCTACTGATAAAATCAAGTCAAAACACTGAGTAAAGCAGATTCATGACTTCAGCATTTCTCCAATGCGTTTTGTTGGATAAAGGACGTCTCTCAGGGGCTGTGACCTGAACTGCCACTAATGTTTGCTCAGTTTGTGTTCTGATAACTTGAATCCCATGACTAGAAACCGTCATCCACTTTGAAAAAATGGGGCTTCAAACTGCATTCAGTTTTTTATATTGACTCATGGCAGACAAAAACAATGCTGACATATGCACATAGGGGATATGGTGCCTAACAGAAAATGAAATGCACCATTATCTTGATTATAATACAGATTCCTCCAGGTTTGAAAATTGTTAAAACAGTGCCCCCACCTTTCTCAAAAGTGCCCCCAACCTCTCCTCTCCCAATGAAGGGGGGGCAGCAGTGGCTCATTTGCATTTTAAGGAACAGGCACACAAACAGGCCACTTTGAACAAGCTCTTCACACAAGGTTGAGAAGTGTAATGCAGTCTGCAGTTCGATCCTCAGTCTTCCCCATCTGCATGCCGAAGTGACCTTAGGCAAGATGCTGAACCCCGAATGGGTGAATGGCAAACTGTACTGTAAAGCACTTTGAGTGGTCATCAAGACTAGAAAAGCGCTATATAAATACAAATCATTTACCTTAACTTTTTACCTCATCCTATTGGTATTTTGATAACTTTGTATGTATTCTCAAACCATTTGGTGTGAACACAGGATGAGAATGCAAACTCTGTCAAACATACACTTGAGCCGTTTTAAGACATGACCTGTAGGTAAAATCGCGAGAATTGGCTACTGAGTTTACCCGCAATTTGCCTTTCACAAATACACAGATGCGTCACAACAGGATTAAATCCTCCACATTATTATTCAGGCGAGAGGCAGAGCAGCTGGGTAAGCAGACAGAGGCAGGGAGTGACAATTTAATTCTGCTGCGGAGATCACAAGATTTTCTTTACAACACACAGACACCTGTGTCAGAATTTATCACCTCAAGCTCTCTAGACGTCTTAATCGGTGTCTTCTACGTGTGTGTCACTGCCTTTACATCAGAAGATATTTGTTTGCTTTTAGTTATTTAAATTTTTGTGTCTGTCTCATTGTTGGAAGTGTCGTCAACCCCCCACTCCCTCTTGGTAAATCCAGCAGGGGATACACATCGGAATCTCCTGAATTCGCAAGGACTTTATACTAGTCGGCCAGGTGGAGAAAGTACACAGAAATGTACATTTGCATTCACACATGCACCTCCTCTGGATAAAATACAGAGTATCTGCAGAGTTCAGTGCATGTCTGAAAGCTGCTTTAAAAAGGATACCATTTTCTACAAGAACCAGCCATTAACCAGCTACAGTATGGGCACTAAAATCCAGTGATGAGACTCTGTACATCCATGGGTACATTGCAAACAGGAAGTGCAAATAGCCAATTTGCCAATAAAATAACCATAATTATGATTACGCCTCAAATAGAATACACACAATAATGAGTTACAACAATACATTACCAGTAACAGTTCAATTTCAACCTTACCGACTTCTCCATTTATGCATATCTCTTATATTGAAAGTGTGCTGGTAAATCATAGCATTACCATGAAAATTACTAGAATGTTAGCATGCTAACATTTACAAATTAATACACAAACTAAAGGAAATTACATTAGTTCAATAGGGATTTGCAGACATATACAGAGATTGAATCAATTTCAGAAGCAATTAATCCCAACTTCTACCACCTGACAAGCAGCTGTGAAAAAGTGCAACTGTATGACACCCTCAGTGTGAGTCCTCTATTTACATTGTGTTGAACCTGTTGGACATGGAAAACAAATGCATTTTGCTATTATTGCTATTATTGCTATTATTATAGTACATTTCTTTAGCTATGGTGACATCCCATAATTCGAATGACAGCCCTACCCACCCTCAAGTGGATGGAGCATGGATCTAATAAACCAGAATAACTGAGGTCATTTGTGGGTTCCCAGGGCTTTTAACAAAAAATAATAACTTATTCTTTGCCTGTAAATTTTATACCTGAAAAATAAAGAAATATTCACGGTGGGATGTGTAGGCTACTTGAACAATAATGAGAGCTAATCCTCTATTATGGTTCTGCCTACATTGGGTTACTGATTTTTTATGCATTTTCTCACCTCATGCATGAAGACCTTTGGGCCAAATAACGGGATGGCAAAGATCAGTACACGTTAATATATATTTTGACCGTCGAGGTGAATAACTCGAATTACAGACCCAGTTTCTAAAGAGCAGCTTTAAAACCTCAGCAAGCCTCCCGATGCCTGAAATATACAGAATGTCTTGAGTGCTGACTCTCAGGTCCAGTGGTGTTTGTTGACATACACAGGGTGCACACATACGTATTATATGAACATATACCTGCCTTAAAATGGGGCAGATAAGTCAAGGATGTTTTTAACATATTTTCAGCAGGTCAGAGCAGAGGTTTTTTTTATGACGTTTTGTGGTTATTTTAAGGAACTCTTGTGTTCAAATGTGAGAAGTAGGAAGTGACAGGCCAGGTGTTATGGGGCTGGCATAAAGCATGTGTCCTGGTGGCTTCGGGGGGCTGATGCATGGATGAAAGCAGGAAGACAGAAATAAAGATGGACACAGTCTCCTAACACATTAAAAAAATAACCCCAGGACATCTGAGAGCACACCACAATGGTTTCGCAATGGTTTGTTTGTGTATTTGTTTTTATGGGTAAGTAAAAAGAGGAAAGACAGTGTCAGTCCAATGCCTACAAGACTACCATCACCACAAACACCTCTGGCATTAATATGCTTTTGTTGAATAGTTTGTTCCAACTGTAGACATAAATCTTTAATAATACCTCACCACTGCAGTTCTGCTCTCTGCTATGATGCAGAATAAAGGGACTGCTAAAAGCTTAGTGTGAAAAAAAGAACAAGCTATTTGCTGGAGATAATGTTAAATCAATGTATTACTGATAACCTTGTATTTTGTTTTCTTAAATAACTGTGCCATAAAAACTAAAGCCTAGAATGGCACACACAAAGACCATCTTTATGATAAATCTTTATACTTTTTCATCTTATTTAGTGCAATAATCTCACAAATAGTGAACATAGTGAAAATAAGCAAAATAAAAATGAAAGACTTGCAATACTATGTGAAATAAGCTCAACTGAAATACTGTTACTAAGTGACTAAGTTTTTGGCAACATTCTCTTGTCATTTGGAAACTCTTAAAGTTATATGAATACGGAAGCTTGAGTCCTCCTGAAGCTGCTGCAGATTCAGTTCAGAATCGGCCCTTTGTTGCATGTCTTTCCTACTTTTTCTCCCCATTTCATGCTTTAACTGTCCTGTCAATAAAGGCAATATGTCCCAAAAATATGTATTAAAAAAGAAGTGATTACTGACCCAACAAAATAAACAATATAGTGTTTCTATCGTATATATCTATATAACATCGTATTGCACTGACCTACCGGATATTAAACTGACTTAACTGCTTCATAGTACAAAGTGTATATAACGCTGGACAAATTTATCTCCCAAGTGTGGAAAGAGCAGGTCATTATCTTCTGTAGATAAGTTTTAATCGTCATTTTTGCCCCCTGAGAGGCAGGTGCAAACCAGCAGGATTTGATCTCATTCCAGGACGCACTGGCTACAGTCATGCCGCGGATAAAACTACTGTTTTTCCTCCAATAAAAGTTGGGTTATGTACTCAACTAAATGGCAGTACACTATGGTATAAAGCCATGCATGGTCCTACAATAACAATCAAAGCCTTATTTAAACAAATAAATGGATTCATACAACAGAAATGCTGAAATTTGTGATTTTATTTTGAAATAGGTACGGAAATAGTTGCAAATATTTATGTTCATGACCCATTCATGATACGCAAAGAAATTTGCGAGACCTCGAATCTCTTGATAAGCAGTGCAGAGGGGGTTGGCTCAAATTGTGATGGCTGAGAAAAAACTCTGTAACTGGAAAAAACCTCTGGCAGAACCAGACTGAATGTGGGTGGCCATCTGCCTCTTCCGTTTAGGGTGAGTGGATAAAAATGGGGACGAAAGGAAAGGAAAGGGTGGAAAAGAGGGGAGAGAAGAGAGACAGAGATGGCGAGTATTCAGCAAACACCATGACATCATCAGCGGGTAGAAAACGGCTCACCTATGGAGGTTTTTTCCTATCTGGACTGATCACACTGCAGCAACATATAAAAAAGGTCAGAGCAGACTGCATCTGCTGAGGAAGCTCAGGTCATCAGACATTTTCTATGGTGTAGTCTGCTGGAACAGCAGCATCTCGGCAGCACTGTCTTTTCGTAAACTTATTGCACACTGAATATGTTCATATGTACAGTATATAGGAGTGTATTCTTTCTATTCTATTTTCTTACCTTTAAATTATCTTGTTTATTTTTCACTATTGTTATTGTTTTAAAACACTACTGTCCTATTGCTGCTGTGGCGCAGAAATGTCCCCGTTTGTGGGACAATAAAGGTATTCTGATTCTGATTCTTTATTCAAGAGCGTAGTCTTTCAATTTCGAGTGCATGACTTGTTGAATTTATGTTCAGATTGTGTATTACCCGCACAGGATGCTCTGAAGTAAAGTGAACGCGCCCGCAATGAGGCAGGGATTATATGATTGGTTGAGTAGTGGTCAACACCAACACCTGGCATTCTACTGGTCAGGGAATTTTTGACAGGGTTGTAGCACAAAAAAAGCCAAGAGCAGACAACTCACAAGCACACAGAGAAGGGCTGAAGCTGGGAGGGCGGGAAATCTATGCCAGGAACACAGTTTGAGCGGAAGCAGAGCAAATTTAATTATTAATACAGTTGTCCCCTACAAGCTCATTAACAAACTGCTAAACCTTGGACTCAACTCCACACTCTGTGACTGGCTGTCAGATTTCCTCACTGGCAGGCCAGTCTGTCAGAATTAAAATATAACATCAAGCAGCCTTGTGATGAACACTGGTACCTGGTAGGCTGAGGAAATACAGCTGCATCATTGAGAGCATCTTGACTAGCTGCATCACTGTGTGGTATCAGGGCACCACTGCAGTGGGCCGCAAGCGCTTGCATAGAGTTGTAAAGACTGAAGAGAGCTTGCTCCATTGTTAAGGCTCCACCCACCCCCAACAAGGTCTGTTCACACCTCTGCCCTCTGGCAGAAGGTACAGAAGTGTGAAATACAGGATGTCCAGACTGAGGAACAGTTAAATACTCACTAGCCCTGACACCACCCTGGACTACCTCAACACACAGATCTATACCACATGTAATGAAATTACATGACATTCCTCACGCAGATCTTAAGATATCACAAAATGAAATGAGTTCATCCTTGACTCCAAGTCAATCTTCGTGCCATGGGCAAAAAATGTGCTATGTAACTGCATATATGTACCAATTTTGAAGAAATTCCCTCAAGGTACTCTGGAGATTTCACGTTCACAAGAATGGACGGACAGACAACCCTAAAACACTGGCTGTCACAGAGGCATAAAAACTCTAGATGTAAATGGTTCAAACGGTAAATGGTTTGTATTTATATGGCACTTTTCAGTCTTGGTGACCACTCAAAGCGCTTTACAGCACAGATGCCATTCACCCATTTACACACACACATTCATGTGGGAAAATTTAAAGAAAATGATTGTCAATTCACTCAATACCATGCCTCAGTATGACAGAGGTCTCCTTCAAAAACCTTCAGTTGACGTGGATCAATCATTCCATCAATAACACTGAAGCTCCACTGACAGTAAAGCCTAGTCTATGCTTCTGCGTCAAGGTGACGCCATTGTTGAACATTCGAAGTTCTGCGTCGAGGGAACGCGTTACTCTGCAATTCATCGCCATACCGCTAGGAGGGTGTGGCTTTGTGTTTGTGTGGTTTCAGGGGTTATAGCCGAATCCTTTCTTTTTCTTCCGTAAAGTAAACAACAGTAAACAATGGCGACCGAGGTGGAGCAGCTGTATTTGGAGTTGGAGCTCATCAATATTGAAGAACAAATGCTTATATTGCAAATGTTGAAGCGCAGGCGACAGAGAAGACGTTTGCGGAGGTGGTCTGTACGACGAGGAAGAAAGACCGGAAAAAGCAACTGCCGGAACTTATGTTCTGAGCGGACCAATCACAGCGCTTGCGGTCCGCGTCAATGCGACGCGTAGTTAGGATTTTTTGGAGGTGTGTGTCAGGCTACAGCGTAGGGGTCCGCAGAAGCATAAACTAAGCTTAACACTTCACTCTATATCACATCTATTAAAAGCTTGTAAAACAAAGGAAAACACTTAGCCTGGAAAGATATCGCCTGGAAGGCAATCTCAGCCCATCACAGCATAGAGACAGCTTTTGCCTCAGATTAAGGGTTTGTCTCTGTCCTTGTCTTTTAGATCTTAGTGCAGTATTTGATACTATTAGTCATCACATCCTACTACAGTGACTGGAACAGTTAATTGGTATTTTAGGATCTTCCCAAACCTGGTTTAAATTGTATTTATCAACACCAAATATAATCACGTGTTTCCTCTGTGCTCAGCCCAATTTTATTTAACAATTATTTACCAATTTTATAATGTTTCCACTAGGAAACATTAGAAGGAAACAATGTCAATTGTCATTGCTATGCAGCAGATACCCAGTTATACTTATCTACAAAACCAGAAGATACTTATCAGCTAACTAAACTCAGCAAATATGTTAAGGGACATAAATACCTGGATGAAACAGAAGTTGTAGTAATTGGCCCTAGACACCTAAGGGGTGCATTATCTCATGATATTCTGTAGCTACTTTGGATGACACCACCCTTGCTTATGTGAAAGCACCAGGGACCAGGGAGTTATCTTTGATCCAAATTTCAAGAACTGCCTTTTTTCACCAATGTAAGATTGCAAAAATCAGGCATGTCCTGTCTCTTTCTGCGCCATTGTTACCTTCAGACTTGACTAAAAACACAGCAGGGGATCCTCTAGGATTCACCACAAGCAAGTGTGTGCGCACGTGTGTAAGACGTAATCAAACCGCAGTTACCGTAAAACCGGTTAATCCAGACATCCCTAATATGGATTGATTTAATTGCACCTGATCCAAATGACAAAAAAGGACCTAACAAGAAAACCGGGAGACTGAGTATGTTATATTTTAAATTAGAATTATTATCATCTCTCCGAAAATAAAATCAACACTGAATAATGGCTTGGCTCTGTATTGTTACCCTACTGCTCCATTTCATAACCATAAAAATATTACGCTGCATCTTTCTCTCAGTTATGCTTGATATTTCCTCAATCATTTTCATACCATTTTCTTCCCCTGGCGGTACCTTGTTTTCAGGGCTGTCATTACAAATAAGTCCTTATTCTAAATTGACTTACCAAGTTAGATAAACTACTATTGTCACTTCTCCTCTCCCTTTGTTCAACTCATCTTCTCCAACTGTGATGATGAGTCTCTGCGCACTGGCCCAGAGCTAGCACTGCTATGTTAAGTATTTCTTTATGGACTGTTACACCCCGAGAGATACAAGTAGACCCACCTCAATAAACCCAGGACACAGAAATATGTAGGAAACTATAAACACAGGCTGTGATTACAAAAGGAAAAAAAAAAACTAAATGGAGAACATTTTGTGATTCAAGCCAAGCTAAGCTGAGGTTATAATACCCAGTAATTTGGAGCCAGTAGTGACCCACAGAGAGCATTATTGATAAGAATCAACATTATAGTTTATGGTGTCTGAAATGTGATCAGTAAGGATGACTAAAACTGGTGACGCATTTTAGACTGACATTAAATGTATGATTTGAATTTAATTTTATTTGTGATTAGCATTCATTTAAATAAAAAATTATATACAATGAATCAATGTTTTTCCAAAAGTGATGACCAGAGGACTTTGCATAATCCATAGAGAAAGCTGTAATGAATTATTGGAGGTATTATTTCTTCATTACAAAAGGTAATACTTCTAACGAAATACAATTTTATCAGGAATGAATGCAAATACCAGAGAATTACCAGCTTTATCTCCCCTCATCTGATTGGGAGTGACAGTTACTCGTTACGACTTGGTCGTTGTTTATGGTGTTAAATTAATTGCAAGCCACACTGTGCAACATGGATCTAAAAATATGAAATCAAGTTTGATGTATGTATGTATGTGGTCTATTCGATGATAAAACCTAAATCATAGGGTACAACATGAAAGAAGAAAACATCATTAACATGTGCCATATATCTACAGTATGCCTCTATAGTGTTGAACAATGAAGCTAAACAAGAGCAGAGTCCTTGCAATTTGAAAATTATTGCTGCAATTTTTTAGCCTCCCTTACAACTCAACAAAGGCACAAAACTAGTGACATAAATATTAATCGATTATCCAACAATGATGCAGGCTCCTCGATCTAATGCTGCTTATATGTGCAGATTATTCTGAATTATAATTTTCACTTCATTTGAAAACTATTAGTTATATAAAATAACACAAAAAGTCACATAGAGAGACCTACTTAGTTTGACATCCATCAAACATCCCAGTGTTGATGAAGTATGGACACACAATGGTGGTCTTGATGCCATCCTTCCCAGTAGCCAGCAGCTCCAGACCCACAGACTCTGCAAAACCTACTGCTGCAAACTTACTGGCACAGTAGTCTGCAGGCAGGGAAAGGAAGAAACAAGTGACAAGGTCAGTTATGCTCTTATCTAATGCTCAGGACAGGAAATGATTAAATGCTTTGGATAATTGATATTTTTGATTCGGAATAGCCTGTAAGTGTATTCATATTTGTAAAAAGATCCCTGAGAACACAGCATTTTGCTTAATTCAGTTTTGACTGAGACAGGCCCGAATACAGTGAAGGGACACTCGCATCAATTTCATATAAATACCTACTATATTTACTCATCACCACATAGAAGTAATGATAACTTCAGTAATGATTTTGTAACAGCTACAGCTGTTGTATAATCTGACCTGCACAAGTTTACTGCTGATAAGGTACTGTAATCTTTGTGACAAATATTGGTGAGAGGGCAACTCAGTGATGAGAGTTGCCCCATTGCAAACCATCCCGATATGCATGATGAGTATTGCAAGTTGTTCTCAAGACAATGTTGAACCAAGTTACCAGTCATTGAAAAGAAAATTAAGAAAGAGACAAAATTTGATGTGTCTTTAAAAGGTTTGGTGAGGATTTGCTTTTAGGCATAAAGTATGGCAAGCTAGTCAATTATGATTTAAAAGATTTGAAGCATGTTTTCAGTAGAAAAGGAAAAAAGTAATCACAGAAGGCTTAAAATAACACTTGGCGAGACAACAATCAAAGCTGGTTTCCAATGTTCTACCGGCTGGGCTATACTTGGAACTGTTGTTTCTAAACAGAAAAAGGCTTTTCACGTGTGCTCTACTGTGCATGTGTATGAGGTAATAAGTGTTCACTTGTAATACACTTTTTGCATATTAGCTGTTATGTGGAATATGTGTATCGATTATTAAAGATAGGCCTGGGGGTAGGCCTGAATTGGGTATTGAAGTTTGGCCAGGGCCTTTATTTACCTCAGCTGAACAAGGCAACAGGTTATCATTTCTAATTCCCTCTGGGGATAAGTAAATGAAATATTTTAGTCAGAAGGCTTGATTTGATCTGCACCTCTTTACCCCATTTAAGTTACATCCAAATTATGTTGCCATTGATTGTTAATTACTGTTTAGCAGATTTAATTATTAATTCAACCCTGGAGAAGAGACGAGCACTATTAACAAAGTGTACTCCACCCATCAGGCATCTACGGTGCTGCAAGTCCCACCCCCAAAGAAAGAAGATTTTTTTCCAAAGTAAATAATTTAACATAATTTAGATCCTGGAAAACATATGGAGTTCCTGCAAAACATATGGAGTTCCTGCAAAACATATGGAGTTCCTGTTTAGTGGAAACACAGTGTTGGATCAGTAATCAAAAACGGACTCCAAACTGTCCATACTCAACTATGAGCAGGTTGAGTAACCTGACAGGAAAGTCTACATTAATTATTTGGAAACTATTTTCCAGCAGGTGAATAATATTCAGTGTATTAGTCAAATTTACTTCCAAACACAACCCTAGAGTTGGGAAATAGACTTATATGATGCACAGTAAGATTAGAACAGGGCTCAAAAGGACACAGATATGCAGTACTGGCCAGTATTTGTGAAAATCATACCTGAAGTCAGATACAACAATAATAAAGATAAATGGTTCAGAAATATGTTCCATAGATTAACAGCAACAGAAGCTACAGTCCCTGCTTCCTAAATTTGAAAGATGAGTCTTTCAATCTTTAAATCAAGTAGTTATATGTGGAATTTTCCTCTCTCTTTACAAATCTTGAAATTATGAAGAGCAATTGTGAAAAGTAATAGTAGGAATAAAGTCTGTTAAAGCCAATGCAGATTAAAGCTATTGGTGAGATGCTTTGTGTCTCTATGATGACCACAGAATGATCTTAATTAACCGAACTCCCATGGTTGGTAATTTTTCAGAATGCAATAATTTGAATAAAACACATGAAAATAAGTGGAAGCTGTAGACTCACATGAGGCATTAAAGCAATGAGATTCAAAATTAAACATTTTTGACAAAGAATGAAACATTTTTCTCAAACACACAACCCACTCAATTGTGTCCCATAAACTGTAACAGCAGTCTTTAGAGATTCTAGACCTGCAAGTTCTGTTATGTACACTGATCAACTGTGTCTGAATCTGTTACTGGCCCAGTACTCACTGGTATTAACATCCTTCCAGATAGATCTGATCAGAGGCCATTAAGATTCCTTTTTATTGTCCCACATGCAACATGGGGAAATTTGACCTCTTTGTGTGTGTGAGCACAGCGAACCTTTCATACTTCGGTCCGTGCTGGACTTGAACTGGCCACCCTCCGGTTCCCAAGCCAAGTCTCTATGGACTGAGCTACTGCCTCCCCGTACATGTGTTCACATCTGGTATTAAGGTCATCCTGAATGCGTCTCTTGTGACCACTTTTGATCGGATCAATTTCATTGAGGCTGCTGCCTGTCCTGAGGTTACTCTGTGCTGCTCAGAGTTTTTGTCATTCATAACATTGAGTCTGAAAAGGTTCTTCTGATAGAAAGACCACAGTGAAGTGTTTCTTCTAGAGCCAAAGCACAATGGGTTACAATAAACACTGGATTGGAAATTGATCAGTTTTATTTAATCATTAATCAATCCATTAAACGAATTGCTCATCCTTGTGAACTAATCATAACTAACAAAAATAATTTGCATTAGCAAAGCAGTATGGTAAACCCTCAGCTGCAGCTTCTCATCTTCTTCTGGTGCTGAGTATTACTAAAATAACAAACGCACTAATGGTTCTAATCATTGCTCTAATCATGAAAAACAGTTGCACAGAGGTGGTTTAACTCATGGCACTCTACTTAAAATTGAAGGATATGAATGATATGTAAAACAGAAAAAAAACACACCTGCCAATCCATTGACTCCTATGAGCCCAGCAGAACTGGCAATGCTGACAAGATGTCCGTGATTGTTGGCAATCATAGCAGGAAGGAAGGCCTTGTATGTCTGAGCAGAGAGAAGGACAACAAATGAACACAATAGAGAAATCAAGAGAGGCCGGTATTTGATTTTACGCATCAATTCAGGACAACTGACCTTCTAAGCGCATTATTTAAATATACATAAACATATAAAAGTTGTTTTAAAGAGCTATAACTGGGCACTAAGAGAGCACATAACTCCGCCAAGACCCATCACTCCCCTTATGAAGCCACATTTAATTTACTGCATCCATATTTTTTGGGATCTTCACCAATGTGTACACACTCATGAATATCAATCCCCTAAACATCTAGATCCATTAATTATTCTCCGAGAAATTGCAAAAAATTTAAAATTGCAAAAAACTCAACCTCCTGATCCAGATGCACAGGAAAATATTATATGTTCTTTTTCTGGAAATCTGTAGTTATTTTTACATAATCCTGCTAAGTATCAGATGGATTAAAACACAAACAAACAACCTCTTTGGCGAAGGTAAATATCTGGATTAGTTTTACCAAAAAACTAAAATGAATGGAATGAAAAGCATTCGAGTGGCAAAGCACATTTTGTGCACACACACTCTAGTAATTTAACTTTTTTATATTGTGATAATTCCATTCATGACATCATCATAACATCATTTACAAATATGATGATGAATGATTGGTTAATATAAAATGTAAGATTGTGTCTCTAATAATAATGCTTTCACCAAAAAATGAAAAAAAAGTTCAATGGAGAGAAAATGTACATTCAATTTGAACCCACAACTATGGAAAAAAGCTCCTGACAAAACTAGGCAGACCATAAGTAGAATGATGTTCAAGCTAACAGTTCTCCCTATACTGACCCAGAAGTGAGCCATCGTGTTGACCTCCACTGTCTTCTCAATCAGGGAATCTGGAGCATCCATGAACTTCTTTCCTGTCACAATGCCAGCATTGTTCACCAGAATGCTGACATCACCCACCTCTCGCTTCACCTGCATGGATCAGAGGAAAATGTCGGTCAGTTATGATAAATATAGTTATCTCAGTAAACTGTTAAAGTAAAATCTAAGCTAATAAACTCAGAAAATCTGGTCACAGCAGCTGCTTTATAAATAGGGAAAATGATCAGTTGTTATTAGAGTAGAACAAAATGTACATAAGAAGAACACTGTACATAAACATAAATGTGCAAAAAGAGTTATTTTCTGGTTATTTGATTTATATTGCAATATATCGACTGATATGGAAAAAAAAATTGGGATACATTTTTTTTTCCATATCGCCCAGCCCTACACTCAGGACAGATGTTAACATCAAATCTAAGTTTGTTAAAGAAGTAATTCACTGATTTTGTATGTGTATTTGTTGCCCAGCAGTGCTATGAGATTTTAACCTACAGTAAGGTTCAAAGGTTTTATTTGTCATCTGCACAACAGATACAGCGTACATGTTGGCAATGAAAATCTTAAATCCCAGGCACCTCAAGCAGCTCAACATGTAATAGTGTCAGAAGATAATAAAATAAGAGTAACTAAATATACAAAATACCAATACACTAGTGCAAATAAACAAGAAAGTACAATTAACTAGTGCAAAAAATAAAATAAACATTAAAAGGTGCCAATAAACATTATAATAAAACATAAGGTGCTAAGGTGAATACAAACATGTGCAGTCATGATTTAGCAGCAGTTATGGGGAGGTACGAACAGATATGAATTATTGCACTCATTTATTTTTGTGTAGCTTAGAAATATGATGAATAGACAGATGTAGCAGAATGAGAATTATTATAGACTAAATAAGTAAATACAGTTCTTTGTGTGTATGAATATTATAATGTTTAAATGAATATGTTGCTATAAACAGATGTTAGGACTGACCGGCTCTTTGTTGTGATAGCAGCATTGAACGTGAGTTGTCCATATATAATCAGTATGTGTGCTAGTAAGCTAGTCTGGAATGGGAATACAAAAACATGTATATTTTCACGATGTCAGGTTGCCATGTTATTAATAAATCAGTGTCTCAAGCTGTGCTCAGACGTCATGATTTCCCCCTGGCTTTGGTTGTTTTCTCCTATTTCTTTTCAGGATCCTTAGCTATGTCTACACTACTCCTCTGTTCAAATGTGGCCTAAAACTTTCAAGTAATGTTACACACATTGATGATGGAAATTCACTGCATAACAGCATCTCCTCTTCTGTTTCCATTGGTTCATATTTACCACAGTAGCGCCACCAATTGTCTGTGGCTCTGCATCGCTATCCTCATGGCCTGGCTTCAGTCTCTACTACATATGCTGTGACTGCCCCTGTCTTAGTTAACCTATTCTTTCGTATGATGCAGCAGGTAACAGGTGGGCGGAGACTCCTCATTCGAAGCACCTGGGTCCGGAGTTATTCCTATAAAAGACAGTCCTCCTAGTTGAGACGCTGGCTCTCTCTCACTCACTCACCTGACTTTCAATATAAAGCAGAAAATGGACAAAGTTCCTCTTTAACATGCTGGATCGGTGCTGTGGTTTATAAAGCAGTTACCCCTACTTTAATTTATGAAAACTTAATACTTGAGGCATCTGTTATTTTTAAATCAAATTACAGCAAAAAAGGTCTTAAGCAGCATATTATCTAATAAAAACATGTAACAGCTTTTGGTGTAGCCACAGCTTAACAGTCATAAAGTCTTTCAAGATGCTGCCGTTTTAAGGTGTTAACTCACACAACTCACCAAGGTCTAGTAGTTACAGCACCAGCCCACAGTTATGTATTAACCCTACTTAGTGTCTGTTTACACAACAGTCATCCCTACCCTGCCTCACACACAGCGTCACCCTAACCAAAACATCTCAGAGTGCCCTGCTGAGACAAATATCAGGTTCTCAGTCCGTTTGTGTTTGATGATTGTATACAAAACATTTGATCTCAACTCTAAGCAAATAAACAATCAGAGAGTGGAAGTTAGAGTGAGAGAGAGAAAAAGAGTGTGAGAGAGAAAGAAAAGAGTGATAGCAATGCAAGCCATAAACAGCTGCTTCTACGCACCTCCCCCGCTCTCAGACAGTGGGAGAGAGCTACCAGTTCTGTGGTGTAGATCGATTCTATACTAGTACAGAGCACTTTTAGAGATAAAGTGCTTTTAGAGATAAACTCTATTATATCAACATGTCATTGAACCCCAACATTTCAGCATTAAATACATTATCTGACCATGCAGTAAATGACACAGGCCCTGTTCAGACCTGGTATTAACAAACATCCTGAGAGATCTGATTACAAGTGGACAGATCTAAGTTGTCTGTTCTTACCAGGCCTTAAAATGTGTCCTGAATGCGTCCTCTTTTTCCACTTGTGATAAGATCTCACTTCCCTGCTCTATATAGAAATAATCACGTACATCAATTTCATTCTCGAAGTATACAGATGTGTCAGTTGTCTATGTGTGAGCATGTGTTTGTGTCAGCTGAAGCAAAAGATAGAGTGGCTCAGTGAATCAATGTACTACACTCAGCCCTATTATGGAATAAGATTTCACCGATGTATATGGGGGAAAAAAGGCTGGTGCCCACAAACAAATCAAAATATGACCACAGAGAAGAGTAAAACAACTGAATAATAATTGTGAAACTGAAGCAGATCAAAGAACATCAGCTGAGCCTGTGGTCCTTCAATATGGCTGAGGATATTGGCCAAACTTGATTAGGCAAGCTGGCAACAGCAGCTAAAATAATGCAGCTAGCCAAGTGTGAATGGCACTGTACTGTAAAGCGCTTTGAGTGGTCATCAAGACTAGAAAAGCGCTATATAAATACAAACCATTTACCAAGTAAAGCCAGACAAGCATCGTGAAATGTGCAGTCGTTAATTGTTTGGTGGTTCTTTAAGTAAGCTTACCTGGTCAGCCACTCTGTAAACTTCGTTCCTGTCACTACAGTCACACAGGTAGTAGTGAACTCTGCTGGCACCGCTCTGTTTAGCCAGTCTAGCAGTTTCCTTCATCCCATCCTGGTTAATATCCCACAAAACCAGCACAGTGCCAAGAGCCGCAAACTCCTGAGCCATGAGGCGACCAATACCACTACCTGCGCCCGTAAGCAGCACCACCTCACCAGCTATGTTCTTTCTCTTCCGGGGCACAAAGAGATGGATAAAGGACTCCACATTGTACCAGAATGACATCAGGAGGACCTGGATTGTTTCCAGGAATATATTCATAATGGATCTGGGGAGGAGGAGGGAGAAAGAAAGAGATAATATGTGATTTGAAGAGCAGGTTTTAACATTTGTTTAAAAGGCTGACTTTGTCTACTCTCAATTAATAATCCTTTGACTGCAGCACTAATTTTGTTATTGATTTGATTGATTAGATTTTCCTAGAGCAGAGGTGGGTTGTCTTGCTGGAAACAAAAACCCAACAAGAATCCTTCCTCCTGTACATGATTCTTTTTTTATTCAGACCTTTTACACTGACCGTTCAAGGAAATGTTATGTCTAATTTCCCAGACAGAAATGGGGTATTGCACATTAAGTCAGCATTGTTCAGTACAGTGTAAACAAGCAAAGGTTGTATAACAAATTTGAAGGATCTGTGTGTAAATGAAGCTGATCACTGAAGCTGCCATTAGACATGCACTGACCTCCAAATATCTAGGAATCTACTACAATTATCCAGGGCAAATGTGTGATAAACATGCTACAAAACACGAGTTGTGACGTTATGTGCACAGTCAGGACATCAGGGTTAAGATGACGCAGTGTTTTTATTTCTTTGTTGCAGAAGAAGCGACGCCTCGTTTATCCAGGAACATACAGTAAATATGAATTCAGCAGGTTTTTATAAAGATCAGTTCTATGTGTGATGATTTGAAAACATCAGAGGAGCAGAGTCTCTGCGATGGGGGGTCCAGGTGGGGCAAGGCTGGGCCACCTTGATACAGTAAAGGCTATGATCAGAGTTTGTCCTTTTAAGCCTTAGGTGTAGCACAAAAGTCTAAACTGAATGAATGTCAAATCATTGTGGAGAGCACTGACCAGTCATACACTTACAAAATAAAAAGGGAATAAATATTTGTCCGACTGATTTTATTAACTGATATTAACTGATGAAAAAGCAGCCATGTGCAGTAATATAGGAAATTGTTGATGTGATACATTACATTGAGGTGCATCTGCGGCAATCATCATGTATTTACAGTGATCTGTCTGCATTGTACCATGTATAGCGTTGTGGTAGTGACAGGATGTTCTTATTTGCAAAGTGTTTTAAAACCAAAATGTTGAAATGTGGATGTGCCCTTTGACTTTTTAACTAGACATATTGAATTTTCACTTGTTTCGAATTGGCTGGAATACGTATAAATCTCAAAAACTGAAAATAGCAAGTTTACATGGAAAGCTTGTTTTATTTTGGCAAGATAATTTATTTTTCAGTGGGAATGTTCCACATTCAAACCAAAACCTGTGATGAAAGTAGGAAAGCCTCCATTACAACATGGTCTGACAGTTGAGCAGAAACAAGGAGCAGTGTGTATTTGGCTTGTTTGGGGCATTAACCTACCAGTTACATATTTAGGTTTGGCTTCTTTAAAAAGTCCTATGTATAAGATTTAGGTGAAAGGGATCTACTGTGAGAAATTATAATAAATTAAACCTTGCAATGTTATCACTAGTGTGTTTCATCTAAATGTACAAATTATTATCTTTACCCTACAATTGCCCCTTTATATTTAAATACTTACATACTACTATACTACTACTACTACTATATTTACATCAGGCGGGGCTCCTCTCTACGGAGGCCACCATGTTTTCAACAGTAGTCCAAACTAGACAAACTAAACACCTTTTGAGTTTTCATAACAATCGAAGTCTACCACTGGTTTTTTTTGTTTGGAAGGGGAGGGTAAGGTGAGGGGTGTTCAGCTGCAACATGCAAATTCACCACAAAACTCTACACACTGAAGCTTTAAGTCGCCACCAGGACTTTTAACAATAATCACTGAGCTATAATAATTTACTCATCTTGATAACGCTTCGGTTTAGTGGAAACGAGCTTTAAACTTACCAAGATAGATGTTGAATGTCAGTAGGTGCCAGTGTCTGTCCTGTGCTCCGAGGTTAATCGACTCTAACCGCTCGGAGACCTTTGTTTCAAACACGTACTTACGTTATCAAACAAGCTTGGTTTTACACAGCCGTGTGTGTGTGCGTGCGTGTGTGTGTGTGTGTGTGTGTGTGTGTGCGTGTGTGTGAACGTACCGTGGTGTTAGTTTAGGACAGAAACAGCGGGTGTGTGAGGGACCAGACTCGGTCTTGTTCCTGGTTGACTCCAAGCATTAAGTGTAGCCTGCGGCACAAAAAAACAGGATGTCAAACAGCGGCAGAGGGACTGCGAAACGCCACATGTGTCACGTGACACGATTTCGACCATTCCCACAACCGCCCGTCCCCTCTGCCACGCAAGGCATTATGGGACTTGAAGGATGTATGCTTTAAAATGTACCGCAAACGCCAAACTAATCAAATAAATTAAACATATTGCATGATTGTGTGAATAATTAATATAAAATACTATTATATAAACGTATTAACAGACAAGCTACAGACAAATATCATAAAACAGATAAAAAGTGTTACGTTTCATTGTAATTGTGTCTCCTGTGGCCAAAGGTGATCATATCTCAGTTTCCCATACTTTCTTTATCTTCTAATTCCACAAACACATGTCTGTCTGTCTATATGTTGATAGACAGATATACACCCAAAACTGTTCCTCTTATCCGCTTCACACAGTGCAGTGCTGAGTTTGGTAAGATTTGGACACATTTACTATTAATAAATAGTGAATGAACAGGTGACCAGCGCTCTGAAGCAGTCAGTAGACAGAGATGAAGATGTTTTCTTCTTCGTCCTCGGATAAACTACATGGCAATTTGTCTTCAGAGTAAAAGCACATTTGTTTTATTGCAGCAATACTTTATATCAAGCTAAATTAGAGCTTTCAATTGAGTTGTGAACTTGGATCTAGAGATTGTGTAGATTGCTTAATTGTCTGAAATAGCCGCTATGCAAAGTATGAAAAAATAACACCAGTTAAGTAAATCATTCAAATGTATATATAAGTATATATAAGCCATATAACAATAATAAAGCTAATTCATGCTCCGGAGGATTTACAGAAGGCCAAAAAATGGACCATTCCAAACAGGCATGTTTACAACGATTCTGACTGCTAATTCCAGAAATCTCTGTCCATCTGAATGTGAAATAAAATTTTGGACATGCAATATGTTCAATATTAATGAAAAACAAACAGTAAAACAATTAGGAAGCTCACAGTGAGGGAGGAGCAAGTTGATTGGCAGATGCAGAGCGTAGTGAACGGGCTGGGGTGTAAAGTTTGACGATGTCCTGGATGTAGACTGGACCTGATCTGCTCACGCAAGTACTAGTGCCTTGAAACAAAGGGGGGAGCCACTGGTAACCAGTGAAGGGAGCGGAGTAGTGTGATTGAATTTAGGTAAGTTAAAGACCAGTTGAGCTGCTGCATTCTGGATGATCTGCAGATGTCAGATAACACTAGCAGGTAGACCAGCCAGGAGGGAGTTGCAGTAGTTTAGGCATAAGATGATCAGAGCCTGGACCAGAACCTGTGCCACCTTCTGAGTGAGAAGGGGACGTATTCTCCTGATGTTGTGCAGCATGTACATGACCAAGTTGTTACAGTAATACAGCTGTAGCAGGCCTTGGTCCGTGCAACTTTCCAATTGCACTTGCCACAGCATATATGGCTTGCAGAGACATCGATTCCTCCCTTGTATCGAACTCAGCAGTGATTCCATCAAAACAATTGGCTCGTTGGGCATTTTTTTAACGTTAAACTGAAATTAAGGTACAAGCAACTGCACAGGAGCACACACCACAAAACTCTATGTTGACAGTGCAATAATTGTTGGTGATTTTAAAATCCATGTTGACCAACACCTGGACAGAGGAACCCAAAAAGTGTTGTGGTCTATATGAACTGACTCAACATGTATAACACACAACAAAATTAATTGTAAAATTAAAATCATCATTAGTGCCCCACCCAAAACAGATCTCCATGCAGAAATGTAATGCATCACAACAGAAAGTGTAATGCAGGTGACAAAAAAACAATCTCCAGATTTATTATGACTTCTACAAAGAGAGACTATCACCAAATATGTTCGGAGTGGTCTGACTGTGTCTTATACGTCAATGTGAGCTGCTGACGATAGCAGGGGTGAAGTATAAAAAGATTGTTTTCACATCAGATACATCCTACTTCCCATAGCACAGCAGTGAACTGACAACAACAGCTGATAAAAATTAATTTGAAATCCCCTTGTTTTTCCACAATGAAAGGGACAAGGACATTCCTTATTGTGCAACAACACACTCCTGAACTAAACACGTTTAACGATGGGGTGGCTGTGGCTCAGGAGGTAGAGCGGTTTGGTGACTAACTAGGTTGCCCTGCCATCCTTCAATTGTCTCGGCAGTGTATCAGTGATTTGTGATATCGAAAGTACTGCACACAGATGAACTGTATGAATGTGTGTGATTATGGGTGAACAGCAATATCTAAGGAAAAATTCTAAATTAGATATTCAGATCTTCTACGAATTGTCAACACATCTCTTCTGTCAGGTTTGTTCCCACAGGCTTTAAAAACTGCTGCCATCACTCTAGACACATCAGTACTCAATAACTATAGGCCCATATCAAAGCCCTACTTGGCATAGTCTGAAATGCAGGTCAAGAGCTCTTTATATACAGTCTATGGTTAAGAGGCACAATTATTTTTTCTCAACCACAATTATGAGAGTAGCCCTTGTAAAAACAAATATTTGTTGTATCAATAAATTATTTTATGTCATTTCTGTGTCTTGAACTAGAAACACTTCTTTGGGTCTAAACTACTACCATACCTCTTCACACTGTTAGAGTTAGAGGTGGTGTGCACCTTACTTAGGTGGTCATGTCAGCAGTAACAGTTTTACCGTTTCTTTTGAGAATACGTTTTTACTTTTAAAGCAGAGTCTAAGTGGAAATGTGTTTTGACAGCTAATAACCCATAGCCCTGATCTGTGTGGTTTAGTGATATGTCAGAAAATAAACTGAATTCACTTCATGATGTTCTGAGCATGAGCCAGAATAAACACTGAATCACAAGATTAATTACTTTTTGACATGGTACTTATACTTAAATCACTTTGTTTTAACTTTAACAATGTTTTGATTGAATAGTTAATATAAAGGCATGTTGGGGGTGGTGGCTGATTATCATCTGTCCGACCAAGATGTGATGGCAAGATAGGAATTAATATACATTTTAATGATGGTAATTAATCTGCAGCTAAACCTCAAGACGCTATGATTTCAGAGTTGGCTGACTGATTTATAAGATACACTCTTATCAAGACATGTCAAATGACAGGGTGTGCCAGGAAGAGTGGAAGCTTTTTTCTACTTTTCACTTGCTTTAAATTTGTATTTTTGTACAATAAGAATATGTACATCTTTGAGACTAGTTCAACGCAGGACTGTGAGTGTGATCAAAATGTGAAGTTAGTGACACCGGCGACACCATAGTTTTCTCTGGGCCCCTACCTGAACTGACCAGCGGTGACATGTTCAGCCACATTTCATCTTTTCACCGCTGGCTGTCAGGCTGGTGTCCAGAAGATATTGTGGGTTTCTTTGATAACTGGCAAAGCTGAAGTCAGGGAACAGAAGTCCTCGAAGTCCAAGGACAATTCCTCTTCCTCCTATGTCTCGGGCGGACGGACAGGGAGGTTCCCCCAGTGGACCCCCAGTGGGTGTGGGCCTCAATGAGGTAGAGGCAGAAGATTTTCTCTCCTGGGTGATCAATCACCGAAGACTTCTTGGGTCCAGACAATATTTCAAGGGATCCTGTTAATGACGCCAAGTTTGCGGTGGAAATTTATCTCGAGATGTGAAATAAAGAGCTTCTCAGACCGGAGTTGTTGAGTTTTTGATGGTGAGCTCAGCAGAGGGTTACACGCTCAGCATGAACGAGTAACCCTCAGAGTGGAACCTTGAGTAGTGAAAGAAGAATGTTTTTATAAAGTGTTGTAAACAGGAATTGTCTGCCTTGCTGCTTAAGAAAGAGGCAGACATTGAACAGGAGCATTTTCCATTACAAGACTCACAGTGATGCTTCTCTGTAGGATGTGAGCTATATAAGGCATGTGCTCAAATGGCAGAAGTCTAGCCACAGCTGTTGGGTCTCCTCCTCCCCTCCTTGGTCCATACTGTGCGGCTCTCCGGAGCCCGTCCTGGCTCGGGTCCTGATGAGGGATGGACCTAGTGGAGGTCGCCAGTCTGTCGCAGGGCTGACATGGAGGGTCACGTAACCACCAGCACTCTCACCTGAGAACCTCTCACCTTTGGAGCCATGGGTCCACCTACTGCGCATGTTGGACCATGAGGGAGGCAAGAGTGCCCGGGGGGACCAACGCGCCCTTGGAAGACCATGCCAATGTCCATGTGGAGATTCCCGGGCTGGATTCAAGCCCATGACCTGAGACTGTGACTCCACCCCACAAACGACTTTAGTTCCCATGTTTTAGTGATTTGTTGTGCAGTTACACCCAGGTAATTATTGCTACACACAGAAGTCCAGTGGTCTCCTGTCAGGGTGACATATTCTGCATGGATTTTAGTCATTGCTGTGCCTCTTGATGGTAGCTTGTAGAATGCGTCCAGACTCAAAACTTTCGTGAAGCTCTTGTCCTCTAAAATATTAATCAGTCTACAGTCCTTTGCAATCCATTTGGCAATTGTGTTAGTCAACTTGTCAGAGGAAGACTTATTTGAAGCATCAAAGAATTATCATGTAATTCTTTGATGCCTCATGCTGTGTCATGTGCCATGTCTAGGACTTCAGCTGTTGCGTCAGAGATGTAGGAGCAACATTCAGTACCTATAAGTTTACAGGTTCCCCCTTGCGCTGCCAACAGGAGATCAAGTACCATGCGGTTCTGTAAGGCCACTGTTTTGACTTCCTGCAACTCTTTATTTTCAGCCAATTCAGCTCTACATGAGACATTAAGATGCCTCTCTAAGATTTTAGATAGAGACTTAAGTTCCTGCTGGGATGTATTTATACCATACCAAGGAAACAGGAAGCTGGCTACTTCTTGAGCTGGTGTAATTTCCCTTCTGTGTCTGTGTAGTGGAGGATACAGCAAGGCTATTTCTGCGGATTCTACCTCTCCGATCAAGGGAATTAGATATGCTGAATAACAGACACCATGCAACTCTACATATGGCATACAACGATAGGCCCGTTCTCCACAAACTAGATACACTCTCTCAGGTAGTGGGGACTGCTTTAGAGTGACATTTATTACAGTGTTACAGCTGCTCTGTCCTAAATCTTCATATCCTTTCCCTATTC